TTTAGTCAATCCTTAGATATTTGTATCGAAATACGATACTATCACATCTGCAGCCACCACCAATCATGTCTTTTAAAGCACAAGCCCTTCTGAGTTTTGGCGGCTAAATTCTGGCTAGCCACATGAAAATAATCTTTCAAATCTAAAAAATTGAAACCGAAATTATATACACTTCTTTATTTCCTCAATCGAATTATTGGACTTAAGGTCAACTGTTGTTTTATACAATCGCTTGTCAGAGGTCATACCTTGTGGGGCTGATTACAGTGGTAGATATGGAGAACAGATTTAAAGAGTTGCAATGTGCCTATATCAGGTCGTTGATTAATCTGCGAACTTCATTATCTAAAGAAGTGTCTACCTCTGTTTCTAGTAAGATTTACTTGTGGTGATATCTAGTCCTTATAGGAATCAGAAGACAATTTCAACGAGCTCAAAATGGTTAGTAATGGAGTACTTTTTTGATTATCCTCTAGGTGTTGACAGCGAAGTCCGTCGCTTGCAGGACGAGAACGAATCTTTAAAAAGGTAGACTCCTCAATACACTTATGTTCTTAGATCGTTAAAGCGTATGGAGGATGTCATGAAAGGCAAAGAAATGGAGATATGCGGTTTGCGTAAGTCAAGCTTAAAAATACTAAGTCTCTTAGGTCGCCAAGTACAAAGCTTTTCTTCTGGGGGAGCTATGTGCACTGTATGCTCCCGAACAGCCAATGTCACAGCTGACTTGTTGGGTGCTGAGAGATGCAAAACAAAGTCCATCTTAAATCATAAACGTCCTCATTTGAATGTAAGCTGTTTTGTCCAAATTAGTTAATGTAGTACCTATTCCCGTTTATATGGCTATCTCCCTCTGTAAGTCTATACATATATGTGTGAATCGGACAGAAGTTCTGTGCCACTCAAATACATCAATACGACTGCGGTAGTATTGAGTAGTGCAGATTTATAGTAACAGCCGACGGTAATGTGAATCCCGTTCACATCCTTCCTTGTGCAGTGCCTGTTACACTCATATGACTAATTCTGTAGACCACCTGTGATAATCAGAAGTCGTTTCCATTATGAAACTAAGAAAAACAATGTTTCAGAAATCAGTAAAGTGAATATCAAAATTAAGATGTAAGACCACTATACAAAATCGATGAAATTTTCTCACCTTGAATAAGGCTAAACGGAAATGCACAAAATGATTGTAATTATAATTAGTTGGAGTGGACGTCATGGATATAGGTAGAAGGGTAGCGGAGAAAACTGCCACTAATGCCCAACTCGTATGCTTCTACTAAAATTGCAATAATTTTGTCTGATAATCCTGACCCAACTTCTAAAAAACAGTTCTTAAAATGAACCTGCAGGCCTTGCTGCACTTAATTTTCAACTTAAATTGAGGTTGTTGGTTAAACATTCCTTCAATTTGCGGATAAACAGGTGACAATTGTATTGTTTCTAAGATCGAGTTGAATTTTTCCTCTAAGCAGCTTGTTTATTTTACAATCTCTTCTCTTGCAAGGGTACTTTGACCCATGTTGCTAACCCTTGGTTTTCTAACTTTCTTAGTAACTGAATTGACTTTTTGATCTTACCTGCGCTGCATTTTTCATTTCTTTGGTTTCCCCTACTTACAATCTGCGTTTATAAGTTTTCAGCCTACAACTAACCTGCCCTATTACTTCATTGTCATCTAAGCTTACAGAAATACATTTTTGTATCTGCTGCTTCCCAAGAAGATGCAGAAATAGGTCTTATTTAGCTATTTTTGCAAGACGAGAAACAGTAGATGGAGCAATGCCAGACTTCTCCAAGACCGATAACTGTTGTGTCTCACCATTGATCGCTTCTTCAAATCCAGTATTAATATTCATTTTATCAAAATAAGCCCATTCGAACTACTCATCTGTTTTTCTTTTGTGTGCACTTGGGTGAGAATTAACGTTCGTAGTAACTAGTGCATGAGAACTGCCTACGTATGCCCTAGGAAAGTATGTAGTTGTTTTCATACCAGTTGTGATCTGGCAAGTTGCATATTTTGAAAATTATGGCTGAACTGTGCTCGTAAATTTTTCCTTGATATTTGAAAGACTTCAGCATCAGATGGTGCATCCGTTTCGACCTCGAGCAGCAGTATCAAGCAACCAATCAAGAAACGCCCATGTGTCCAAGACACTATGACGGAGAGTATCCTGGACAATCATGTCAACACAACACCTACTGGTAAGTACTTTACTCATACGCATTATTGTTTACTGTATCAGATATTCATTCAAACAGAAACTGCATTACGCTCTACATCACTGACTTTCGATAACTACTTCCTCGGCAGTTTTCTGTGGTTTTCCAACTTTTGTCGCAGTTGGATAACAAGACTGAAATAACTAGTCTGGTGAGAGCTTTCTAAACTAATTTAATGTGATCGCATGCAGGTGATTAGTTCCTGCAAGCCCTGATATTTGCTAAATAAACAAAGCCTACGACTTAACATTACAGAATGTCGTGGTGTTCAGTTTCATTTCTATCAGAACCAGCAGAATTAAGACCAGTTGACTCATCAGCGCGAATCCATGCACAAAATCGCACACTCTAGAAAAGTACACATGAAACTAAGGAAAAAATGTATTTCACCTAACTTTGTCAGGAAAGTTAGTGACTCAAGCTCTTTGACTTCATTGGAGGACTTTCCCTTCTTACCTAACACTACGCGTAGCCTCATTATGACTAACCATGGTGCTCCGCTCAAGATGATTGTGAATGTGGTCCTCATGTTAATAACTGCTTGTCATTTCTTACCTCCCGCTTTCAGCGACATCTCAGCTAATGGATGACTGGATATCACGCCTACACCAGTATATATATATATATATATATACGACTTGGGCTGTACTAGGAGGAAACTTAGACGGGGTTTTGATGGCGGGCAGTTGTAGTACAGCTGCTTATTAATTGTCTGTATTCTGTACGATGTTCCAGCTTTCTCATCTTACGTATTAGTTCTCCATCGTCCTCTAATCTCACTCAACTTCCCATAAATGAAGAAAGGAAATATTACCCACCCAACTTCCACTTGCGTTTCCATGCAGTTGGCATACCCCTATTGTTTGACGACTAATCATACTACCTTCCTGCTCAAGCCTCTCTGTGGGCTGCAGGATTCAAATTCGCGACTTAGTGGTTGCTAGTCGGGCGCCTGAAACAGTAAACAACAGCCTAACTGACTATAGGTATTTTAGTGCCCATTTCCCTAAATGAGCTTAGACGGTTAACAGGTATTACCTATTGCTGATGCCTACACTTTCCTCATCCACTAGTACCAGAAGTCGTTACGAAAACTATTCGTAAGGTTTCATTTGATAAGCCCTCGACGCTCTTCAACGTCAGGAGCCTACAGGAACCAGTCAGTCCGGACAAAGCTTCAGATACTTAGTGACATTCTCTAACTTTTGCCTACAGCTTACCAGCAGCCTTTAACATTCTCTGAAGTAATCTAGGTATGATATCCGGATTCCTAAGGCGCGTAAAAGTCTCTCAACTGCTTGTTTTCCGTGTCCGTTCATCCACCGACATATATGTACACGAATGAACAAATGATTGAGGTTCAAGTTTATGTTTTAGAGTGAACGGCAATCCTCTTCACCTACAGATGGTTTACTTCTTACCGTCGTTAGCCTAATATGGGTGGTCGCCAGATAAAATACTGTCTATGTGCGTGAAATTATTGCTGACCAGTGATAAGTAGTCACCTGAATAAATTTGAAAAAGACAGTCACCATTGTTTATTCCTCAGTACAAGCTGTAACAGATGCTCCAGTATACTTTATGAGGAGTTTCAAATTTCCTTCTTCAGTGTTTCGGCTTTGGCAACAAAGTAGGCAGCTTCTGATAAAACTCATCGTTCCCTTCCGAAACTGCTGTTAGTTCGTGGAAAGATGTCCATGGAAAGCACTATCTTATCAGTATAGATTCATTAAGCCAGACAACGTGCACACAGCTATCCAGTGGGATGCAGTCGAGTAGGGAGTTTTCAGCTTGCGATTGCAATACTATCACAGTAGCAGCAAGTCTACGAGGACTAAGTAGAGAATCAACTAATCCCCAAAAGATATCATGAAGATTAAATTAGGTTGCAAATAGAAATCTTGTTCACTTATGTTGTTACTTCCTAGCTGCTGACACAGCAGGTTATATTGGTCAGATTTTCGCCCTTCGGCAGATTATGGAACATGGGCCATATTTCTTGACACGAAGGCTAAATTTGATTCCGTCAGTCGAGCGGTATTATGACAGTGTTTGCCAGTGAAGGGATTGCGGAGGAAGTACATCATACCGCCCAAGGTACTCTGCTCACACTCATGCAGCTGTGTAAGGGTTCATGGAGAGTTTTCATCTGAAGTGAAGACAACCAGTGGTGCCCGTGACAGATGACCACTGTCCCCATTCCTATTTAAATTCATCATAGATGTACTAACAGAGTCATGGTCGGATGCATTCACTCTTTGTGATTTATCACATCTTCCATATTACTCCTCTTTTCCCCTCACACTTCTCTTTACTGTCTTCTCTTGCATTGTGTGCTACATGGAGTGTGGCAACTCGAACTGCTGCACATTTGTGCAAAGTTCTACGTTGAAGTCAGTGAGTATCTGTCATGGATATTACTTTAACCAACAGAGACAATCTAGGTTTGATCACAGGTAATATTATGGTATCCATAAAATATCGTATCGATTTAGTCCCGTAAATTGACAAGATGGTGTTTTTCCATTTCTGAACTAAACAGGATTCTCATTGCCTTGAAACTTACTTTCAAACGAGATTTTAATAACCTGGGAATTTGTATTTCTTCTTGATTTTAAGTCGTTTGGAAAGTGATTTTAGCACTTCATATGAACTGCTTTTACATAGTGGTTTGCAATGCGTATTTTCTTCTCAAGTTTGAGTTTGTTATTGTACATCGAAAGTGTATAGTTTTCCGATCAGAGGTAAAGACGATTTTTTCATTGTAGGCACTCGTAAATCCCCATCTGGGGAAGCTGATCAAAGTCAGCATGATGAAACATCTAACACCGAATCAACAACACTAACGAATAGTGTGTTTCCCGTAGGCTCACTCAGTCCACCTTCAGAAATATACGATGCATCCTTAGCGATTAAAAATGCCGTAAACCACAATGATTTGGCAGATTACGATGCTACATGTCGAGATTCTTCTATGCAAGACCAACCACATTTGCCAAAAAAGCTGAATCCGTAAGTTTATATTGCACGAAGCATTTTTCTTTGGTTAAATAGGATGTCTGAATTGTAAAAGTTTGAGGTTTGAGAATCAAACAAGATATGGCTATTGCGATTACTAGTTTGTAAGGTAGTGCAGATGTTAATATAGTTGTTCCCAACTGAGACTTCAGGAAATCTGCACTCATCGAGGACAATCTAGAATCTGTGTTCAGCGGACAATGTATGTAGACGAAAAAAACATTTAGTCATCAACACTTATACAACTAATCCTACCTTCTAACAACATGGATTGTAGTTGTATATCTTGATTTATTGCACCATACGATTTTGAATGAATGTTTTTTGTTTGCCTGAATACGTGTATTTAATTGGGAGGTAATGATGTTTGGAAAGTGTTTGATTTAATTGTCGTTATGAAATTTCACATTGAAAGGAATAATTAAATTTCAGGGAATGCCAGAGGAAGAACGTGAAATTATATGAATACATTAATTGGCTATTTGGATGTAACCAATGTTATTTGTCTAATACTTTGTGTTGGTGCTGACTGAATTCTCTCAGTCGGGTTTGCAGTATGGTCACCAAGCTGGGTGACCTGCAATTACCTTGCACTTCTAGTTGATATCAGTTGACTTGTGTCGCTGAACTGTGTGCCTTTCTTGTGCGAGGTGTATTTTCTACCAAAATGTTATGTAAGGAAATTTTCGTGATAATTTCAAAAAAAACTTTTATTCGTGTTTCGCCTACTAGATTCGTCTCTGCGTGTAAGATTACGGTATTTTGGCTACACCATTGAAACGAATTACAACAGTTTCCAAGCTACACTCCTAAATCCATAAATCCCTATTCTCTGTGTAAATACGTTTGTGAAAATATTTCATATATATTTTACTCGGGTGTAGTTACATTTCATTGAAACAATTTTCCCAAAATTTCGAAAAAAATTTAAATCCTTTATTAAAATGGGTTCCTGTTCGTTCCTAGGCACCAGCTTTTATACAAAAGACGAAGCAGGCGCATCGCCGCTCAGTCTGCCCCACATGAAATTATTAACAAGTTATCGGGAAGTGGTTTTAAGGCGAAACCCAAACACCGACCTTCCTGTCGTCACTTTCGCCCTACTGTTCGAACCAAGCCAAAGTGCGACGATACAGCTGACGACGTGAGTTCTCCATCTGGCTTTCTAGAGACAGAAGGATCTGAAAATCCTCTTCCTTCGACGTCTGTAACCAACGGTAAGTTTGTTTGGGAATGCAGATAACTTGATCTTTCAGTGAATTAACTTGGTATGTATACATGTTTATTTTCCCAGTGGCGTATTTTAATAGCTGGGCTATTTCATTCACCTATTCCCCTTTATGAATTTGAGTGAAGCAAACAACGGTTTCAGCCGAATAAGATAATTTTGTTTCGTCCGTTTCTTGACAGCTGGATACAGCCTGAAAAATTATTAGGCATGTATGCAGAGGGGTTTTAACGTACTTGCGAAGGCAATATGATGTCAGTTTATAGAAGGCTATAATCATAAATTGTACTCCAAGGCATTTAGAAGACAAATGCATTATTCAAATTTATCAAAGGGACTAATTTTTCTAACTTATATATAACTTTGAAAAATCAGATGCTTCGTTCATTAACCTGCAAAGAAGATTCCTAATCATTCGTTAACGACTGGCTGCATATACTGTGAATGATAAATTTTAGTTAGTTGAAAGCCTGGGTCATAATAACGTTTCCAATCAGTTCATATTGTTATTTGGTGTAACTCTGGATCATAAGCATCCTGATTCATGAGACCATCTTTATTATTTGTTAGCATTTTGGACTTCTCCCTGTACAAGTGCTGGAATTTAAACCCCTACTAATTGATGTGTAACAAGGATGTGCTATTCCGATTTGATAATACTGTCCACCGTCAAGTAGATGATATAGCTATGGTTAATCCACTAGGTCCTGTATTAACAAACACCATGTTTAAATGTGCAATCGACGAAACAGCTTATCGTCGATGTGTTGATAACGCATTCGTGACAGTGGAACCTATGCATCCTATCTACTTGGACCATTCAGTGATACACATGGAAATACTGAGTTTACTGTGGCACATAAAGGTAATGGGAAGTTGCATTTTCTTGACTTTGCCGTGCAGTGCTTGAGAGATCCGTTCAGTGAAAGTCTGCGTGGAATGAACAATTTATAAGTCTCACTAGTTTTTGTTCGGTGAACTGTAAACTAGCATATGTCAAAACTGTTTTGCAGAGTGAAGATTATGCTCCATTGAAAAATTGGAAAAAATAGTGGATTTTGAGATAAAACGGTTATTCACAGGAATTCATTAGTAAGTAAGAAAGGGCTGAAGATATAACTGCAAGACATCACGGTGATTTTAAAGGTGGTAATTTTATTGGGACAGTCAAGAGAAGATTGAACACTTCACTAGTCATAACATAAACTAATCTACAGCTGAGTTGGATCCTGTTTACCAAGGGACATGCTCTTTGGTGCAATCACAGGTCAGTAGTTAGTCTCCCCATGTTAATTCTAACTTTGTATTCAGATTTACTTGTATTTTTAGTAGCAGTTATATTGTAGAAAAGAAAGATAGCACACTTTAGGTTCTCTGAATATTTACTGAAAAGCCTACGACTCAAGGGAGGTAACGCTTTCAACAGTGATGAAGTAAATATCTCAAAGATATCAGGTCTGTCGAAGCTACAGCTATCAAATGTTTAAAACCTGCTTTGCGTTCAGAAAGAAGCAGTAATCGGTCTTTCTTGTGCGTCGGTGGCACAGTGGTTAGGACTCTCACCGACCATGCACATGGTTCGGGGTTTGATCCCCTGCCGACGCACACCTGATATCTATGGTCGGCCTGCAAAATTTGGGCTACCGATATCACATGCTGCAAATTCCATACCTGTACCAAAAAAAATACGGTGTGGAATCAAGCTGTAATCAAAAATATTAAAATATATATATATATATATAAATTCTTTGCCCTGGTAAGTCAAATTCTTAACTCTGTTATATTTGATTACGTAATCTTTTGCTTTAACCTCTTCGCTTTTGGTATACTATGATTGGTTTTCTTTTTGTAATATTATTTGAGTTGAACTCATCACATTACGCAATATAACAGTCACGTATCATCAACTTATCCATCCTTTACCTTTCTTACGTAACCCCCTTTTCAAAGTATCCAGATTTTAAAAAAGTAAATGTTACCATCTTATTTTACTCAAACCGTTGGTTTTAGGTTAGAACACTTCGCGTAAGACTATAATGCTACCTTTAAGTTTCCTATGGTTGAGCTGATTTTTTTAATATTTTTTTTACTTCATGAATTCTCTTTGTGCATATTCATCCAGAGCATTTCTCAATGAACAATACTGATCAGGTTACACTTAGGTTGAAGAAAAGCAATTCTAAAGAAGGCTTGACAAACATAGCAGTAATCCATGAAGTCTCTAGCTGCTAGTTTTAGCTACGTAGTGAAGTTCCGGATATCTTTGTGGCATCTTAAGCCAGGCCTAGGTTATGTGAATGCTCCTTGGATTATTTGACAGTCAGTAGTAAGAGTATATAAGTAGTATAAGGTTTCAAAATCCATCAGTCTAAATTTTGTTTTCTACACATGTTTGTTCGTCGTCGTATCGGTACACTTCTCCTCATTTCTTGTGTTGTTTGCAGTGTAATGACACACTTTTCAATATTCTGCGTTGATTTGGTTATCCGTCTGTCTTATTTTACGTGACGACGGGTGATGCACTCAAAATCGAAACAATAGACCACAGGTGCCTAATCTTATTTACCTGAACAATTAGTATAAGACATCATATTAAGTGTAACCCATAACTTATGAGATGAGCTTTGGCCAGATGATTGAATTTCACGTTTTCCTAATATTTCCTGAATAATTGATACCAGCAGGCTGAATGTAAGGAGTAATACTCTGTCTTTCGGCACCTGAATCTGTAAACACAGTTTGTGTATTTCCCAGCATCTCTTCGCCTAAGGTACATGGATGTAAATAATAGTGCCAGTGCCTTACTCAAAACTATTTGAAAAGAATTAACCTAGTTCGTTGCAAAACTGTAATATATATATATATATATATATATATATATATATACATGGTGATGTTACTACATTGAACGGTAAACACCAAAAGGAAATTGAAGTGTTTTTTATTCACGCAAAACCCAAGCAGTTGATTAGGCACTTAACCCTAGATAGGATTTATAGTTGAAGTGATAGTTGAAGTCACATTCACATCTCTTCCCTATACATTTGCAGAGTCCCCAAAGAATCTCAAATTGAAAATCCATTTACCTTCTATTGGTGGTTCTCCCACTCGTGACGATGCAGGTTTCAAGTGTCCATTACCCCCAAAATGTGGAAATCTCGCCGACAATATACTTCACTCTTCTGCGAATATTAATGCCAAAGTAAGCTGTCTTAGTCTTTAGTTTTCGAAATTAATATCCCTGACAGGGTCTAGAAGTGGCGACAGAATGAAAACCTATTATGTTTTAACTGTGGTTTGAACTACACCAATACCTTGGTTACCCCTTGACAACAACAAATGCACATATTTTTATTCCAAAATGCGGACGATGTTCTTGTTGGCATATTTTTCATTTTTTTTGAATCACCTTTATTTTTCATGCAGTGTTCCTACGTTTTAATTCCAATGGTCGACCTCGTACATTGCGTCTTCTCTGGTCTTCGGACTAGATATTTTCTAACGAAAGGAAAAAAGCGACGTAACTGCAGATGATCAAGTAACCATATTCTTTATATATGTTCCCGGATGTATTAAACACCAAGGTTTTCAATGTTCTCATCTGCAGTTACGTCGCTTTTTTCCTTTTGTTAGAAAATATCTAGTCCGAAGACCAAAGAAGACGCAATGTACGAGGTCGACCATTAGAATTAAAACGTAGGAACACTGCATGAAAAATAAAGGTGATTCAAAAAAAATGAAAAATATGCCAACAAGAACATCGTCC